ACCACTGAATTCTTTGAGAAATAGCTCATTAATAGGATACTTTCAACTCCTTACCACCTAACGGGCAACGGGTAGGAAGAATCCTCCAATAAGTCCATATTAAACATCATAAAGAAGAAACTTGAAGAAGCCAAGGGACTGTGGCGGAAAATACTCCCAGAAGTATTATGGGCACACAGAACCACACCGAAGATGAGCACAGGAGAGACACCCTATTCATTGGTCTACGGAATACAAGTAGTTATATCGGTCGAGGTCGGAGAACCTAGCCTGAGGTACTCCCATGAAAGAGGCACCGGTAACAATGAGAGTAGGAGACAAGAACTCGATGAGGTCGACGAATGAAGAGATCCGACATACATAAGGATGGTCACCCAAAAACAACTAGCGGAAGCGTTACTACAACAAAATGGCAAAAGTCCGACCGCTCAAAATCGGGGACTCCGTACTCAAAGCCAAAACCTAAGAAAACAGAGAGCCACGAGAAGGTAAATTAGGAACCAACTGGGACGGACCATACAAAATTGTAGGCAAAGCGAACAAGGGTTCGTTCTAACTAGAGACAATGTAAGGAAATAAACTACCAAATAATTGGAATATCAGCCATCTCAAATACTTCAACTTCTAAAATATAAGAAGTTCCCCCCAAGTCATACTCTTTTTTCCCTCACTTGAGTTTTGTCCCATTACGGTTTTCTAAAAAGGGGTTTTTAACGAGGCGGCAAGAGGGACACTTCAATTCGAAGTATACGAAGAATGGACTGATTTATTTTTCATCGCTCGACTCCTCAAGATTCTCCAAGTCGAACGATGAAAGGAATAGATATACCGGGACCGGGACTGGAATGCCAGCCAACGCCCAAAATTTATAACTTTCTCCAATTATGTAATCAGAGCAACAACGTTAAAGTAATAGAAATTCACACTTATCGAAACTGCTCTAACGAAAGGTTAAGTTCGACTGAGCTGGAACAAACACCTACTGGCCCTCGGCCATGACTTAATAAAAAGGTTAAGTTCTACCAAGCTCGAACAACACCTACCGGCCCTCGGCTGCAACTTAGTAGAAGGTTAAGTTCGACCAAGCTCGAACAGACACCTACTAGCCCTCGACTACGACTTAATAAAAAGTTTAAGTTCGATCAAGCTCGAACAACACCTACCGACCCTCGGCCTGAACTTAACAGAAGGTTAAGTTTGACCAAGCTCGAACAGACACCTACTAGCCCTCGGCCACGACTTAATAGAAAGTTTAAGTTCGACCAAGATCGAGCAACACCTACCGGCCCTCAGCCGCAACTTAACAGAAGGTTAAGTTCGACCAAGCTTGAACAAACACCTACTGGCCCTCGGCCGCGACTTAATAAAAGGTTAAGATCGACCAAGTTCAAACAACACCTATCAGCCCTCAGCCACAACCCGACTAAGAAACATAACCTATATAAACAAAGGACCAATTTGGCCCACGGATATTCGGCTCAAAGGCCACGATCAAGTTGAAGGCGACAACAATAAAAAGGACAAAGAGCGAAACATGCAAACAACATAAGCAAAAATATACAAGTACAGAAACAAACCACAGGAATGAAAGAAGGTACAAAGAGCAACTATGATATTTCATACTTATATAAAGAGTTTTCTACAAAGGCTCTTGAATACGCCGACAAAAATACACAAAAAAGGTTGAAATAAAACTATTGGCCATCGCCATCACGACCTTCAACACCCTCACCAGGTCGATCCTCAACGACGTCACCACCCTGACCATCAACACCATCACCGTCTCAGCCCCCACTATCCTCTCCGTCCTCGCCTTAAGGGTAAACAAAATCATATGAGCCGTCCTCCTCGAGCTGATCTATGCACTCTTCCTCATCCTCCTTGACAGGCCGAGGCATAGCAGGTCATAGCCATAAGCAACCCGAGCTTTGCGAGCCTTAACCTGAGCATCCTAAAGAGCTGCCTTAGAAACGGAGCTCGTTGCATACAAGTCATGGAACACATCCAGTCGGGCCTCAACATGGATCCACTTTTCATACAACTCCCGAGGGACGTTGGGGAAATTAGAAGCATTACAAAAAGAAGGTTACGCAAGCAGTTGGGCTTTCTCGGCATCCAGAGCGGCAACTCGATCATAAAGCTCAGAGGTTTCCTTGACCAACTCCCCGATCCTCTCCTCAAGTGGGTCCTCTTTAGCCTTTGCCGTTGACAGGTCATTCTCCCGCTCAGAATGAAAGGTTCTGTTTGCCAGATCGAGGATCTCCACCTTCCTTTGAGCATCCAACCGAGAAGAATCTGCCTGCTCGAGCTCCTCTTGATTCTCGGCAATCTCACCCCAATGAGCCTACATGTGAAAATGGAACTCATTTAACTGGCCTTGCAACTATACTACATGAGCTTGAAAGTCGCTACATTGGACTTCTACGCCCTTACTAAGCTCTAGCTCCTCTTCCTTGGCCCTCAACGTTCCTTCAAGGACGCTGAATTTTTCCGCGGCCGCCATCCAGGGGCGGATTTACGTTGACCCAAGCGGTGTCACAGGACACCGCTTGGTCGAAATGTTTTACTAAATATATATATATATATATATATATATATATATATATATATATATATATATAATAACTCAAGCGAAAATATTAGTAGAAACAATAAAGAGGACGCCACTTGAAACAAAGTAGTCCAGTGGCTTGTTGGTTAGGCGCTACTTATTACTTGTAACAGGTCGCGGGTTCGAAGCCCCACAACTTCTATAAAAGAAGTTTTTTTAAACTTTGCACAGTTATTAATTAAACCTCCTAGGCCTGGCCCGTAGATTAAAACAACTATTTGACCCTTTCCCAATAAATAAGGATCTTAAACCTTTCTGACATAGGATTAGTGGAGACTATTTAAAACCTTAAGACTTTTTGGGGAGATAGAGCTCATAGAATAACAAGGTTGTGGGTGCATATTTTTCAAACAAATCACTATTCCCGAAGCAAGTCTACTATCGTTATTACTTCAGGTTTGTTTCTCTTTTTTGCCTGTCCAGTTCTTTTTTGTGCAACTTATTTTTTTATAGAGATTATTTTTCTTTCAATTTCTGAATGCACTTTATTGGTTCTTTGTATTGTTTGATTTCCTTGGAGAAATTATTAAATTACGAGTAAAATATTACTATAAGCGGCGACATGCCAATGGATAGAATCATTGAACAATAAGGAGAAGTAATTTCACGAAAATTACTTCATCGTATAAATTATATGTGCTTTACAATAAGGTTAGATGTACTTTTATTCGAAATTCATTGCTTGAAGATATTCTTTTTGTGTGCTTAACAGTTTGGGATTTTATTTCTTTTATTTGTTCATGATCATAATTGTGATGATTTTCTTATTTATAATTTATTTTTGTTTGATGTGTTTGATTAATTTTAGAGGTTAAATTGTGGGACTATCATAATTTGAATTTGTAATAGATAGATCTTTAATTTGTCTTATAATTTACCATTATTATAATGAAGTGCAACATGAGCTATTGTTAATTAAGTTGAAAAGTTTAATTATGATCTTTAGAAGATAATAGGAAATCAAAAAAATATGTATCAATCTTTCTCCCATATTTGTTTCTTTCAATTCTTTTATACAATGATATTATTTAGGCTTTTACCTAATTTGATATTTAAATTTATAATTCAGCATAAATTTCAATGGAGAGTTATTTTCCTAAAGAGTCTTCCAAGCTCCCAAAGCTAAGTTCAACATCTCAAGATTCAATTAACTTGGAAGAACAGGCAAATGAGCCAGAGCAACATCATCAAAATGAAAGGTTTGATTTTAATCCCTTAGAAATTCATCCTGGGGAAAGATTAGCTATTCAAAAATATCATCCAAATGATCGTGATGCAATAAGAAGAGAATATATTCAAAGAGGTCTTTTTCGACCTCGAAATCATAACTTTCCTCAAAGAAATTTTTATTGTAAAATGCGTCGTTTTAATCCTCAATGGTTTGATGAGTACGATTGGTTGGAATATAGCTTAATAAAATATGCCGTTTTTTTCTTTTATTGTTATTTGTTTCAAGATGAATGCATCAATAAAGGGGGAGGAGAAGTATTTTCAAGTATAGGGTTTACAAGTTGGAATAAGAAGAATAGTTTTGATATGCATATTGGTGGACCAAGTAGTATTTATAATCAGTCAAGAAAGAATGCTGATGATTTGTTGAAACAAAAACAATCAATTCAAAGTGCATTTGCTAAACAATCTTATCAACAAAAGTTAGATTATCGGACTCGTTTAGAAGTTGCCGTTAATGTGATAAGATATCTTTTAAACCAAGGACTATCATTTCGTGGACATCGTGAAGATGAATAATCTATTAATAGAGGTAACTTTATTGAACTTCTTAAATGGTATGCTAAACGATATAAAGATGATGGTGATGCACTTAAAAGCTCCAAAGAATAATCAATTGACTTCTCCATACATTCAAAAGGATATTATCACTGCATGTAAGATGGAAACAATTAAATTAATCATTGAACATTTAAATGGTGATTACTTTTCCATCTTAGTTGATGAATCTCGTGATGTATCATGTAAGGAGCAAATGGATATTGTTTTGCGTTATGTTGATAGAAGGGGAAGTTGATGGAGAGGTTTATTGGTATTGTTCATGTTCCTAATAGTGTTGCTTTATCTCTAAAGAATGAAATCACTGGTTTACTTGCTCGACATTCTTTAAGTCCATTTCATATATGTGGACAATGTTATGATGGAGCAAGTAATATGCAAGGAGATATAGATGGACCTCAAATCTTGATGCGACAAGAAAGTAAAGGTGTCACGACCTAAGTTCCATATTAGATCGTGATGACGCCCAACACCCTTGTTAGGCAAGCTAACACTAATCAACTAGCAAACTTTCGTTAAAATAATTAGCAAGTGATGACTTCCCCTTATTCGATAAAAATTTACGAGTTTAATATTTGAGCATAAATAACTGGAAGCAATAAATACGAATTGTAATCATGTAATTAAGCCAAAATCATAAGTCTACTAGTGTGTATGCCAAGACCTGGTGTCACAAATATGAGGGTAGTCTAGTAGAATATACAAAACCAACTACCCTACTGTTTGGAGAGGAATAGACAGGAAAAATAAAGACATAAGGGAGACTCCAGCTGCTGCAGAACAGCTCAAAAAGGGCAGCTCACCGGAAAAGTCTCAAGCTGAGGAATCAAATCTACGCGCCAGACTAATGGCCAGATGCACCTGCCTCAAAGCATGTACAATCAAGTACAGAAGTGTAGCGTGAGTACATAAAAATATGTACCCAGTAAGTATCTAGTCTAACCTCGAAGAAGTAGTGACGAGGGATCGACTTCGATACTTACTAGGGCCAACAATATAATGATATGAGATTCTAACAAGCATAATATACAGAACTAACAATCAACTCAGAACAAGAAATAACCGAACAGTTCTTCCGTAATATTTAAGAACCCAAACACTTCCTTCATATAAAATAAATAATCTCTAAAGCAGTAAACTTATACCAGCTATGAAAAGGGACTTTGAGTTCTATTATCACACATAAATTCCACCAAGGACGTTCGGCCAGATCCAATATAAAAGTAAACTGTGCACTGCCGAGGGTCGAACGGAGCAAACCATAGATGCATCTATTAACCTGCCGAGGCGAACGGCCCGCTCCCATGAGTGTAGTGGAAATAGTCACCCCGCTCGCGGAATATACTTGCGAAGCGGTTAAATATAAATATAACGAAACTCTTCTCAATTCCTTTCAAAATAATAATTTACTTGAAACCTTTGAAATCTTTGAAATTCTCAACATAGTTCTATTCGACGCGAGCCGACAAAATATGTTGAGATAATGGTACCCACAAAGCATGGTGTAAGCCTAGAACCACCCGGACATGAAAAAAAATAGTCGCTACGTACGGACTCTCGTCACTTCGTGCGTACGTATCCCCCACAAATAATCATACATTAATTTAGTTCACCTATGGGGAAATTTCCCTCTTACAAGGTTAGAAAAGAGACTTACCTCGCTTCAAGGTCTACTTTCCGGTCCAAGCTTAAGCCCAAACCCTCAATTTGGTGTTGACCAATCTGAAACTATCCAAATAACGTAAAAACTAATCAATATAGGCTCAAAAGTTCATATTCCCACTATTAGAGTGACTACCCAACCCTATTGCAAGATTCCTGATTTTCACCCCCGGGCCCACGTGCCCGGATTCCGGAAACTTTCGACGAAAGTTGTTACCCATAACCTTAGGATCAAGAATATATGATTTTTACTTCATTTCATAACAAGTTTCGTGGTTAAATCTTGTTTTTATCAAAAATCTAGGTTTTACTCTAATCCCATAATTTTCACAAATCTTTACATGTTAATCTACCCAAAATCCAAGTATTTAACTCACATATAGTAGGAATTACTTACCTCCAAAAGCTTGGTGAAAAACCCCTCTCAAGAAGCTCAAAAATCGCCCAACAATGGTGTGAAATAACCCAAAAACGTCTAAGGCCCGTATTAAATGAAGGTTACTGCCTTCAGTGATTTTCGCACCTGCGGTCAGGGTCCGCACCTGTGCCCCTGCATCTGCGGACAATGGTCCGCATCCGCGGAACTTTACTGGGCCAGCTGGGGCCGCTTCTGCGGAAGGCTCACCGCTTCTGTGGTCCCGCTTCTGCAGAGAGGGGGCCGCATCCGCGGGTTCTGGGCTGCCCACCCTTGGCCGCATCTACGAGTCAAGGCCCGCACCTGCGAGCTCGAACCTGCAGCTTACCAACCGCAGATGCAGCTATGACAGAAGCTGGGGCTTCAGCTCTTGCTCAAAATTTCCAACTTAGTCCGAGCCTCGTCCGATTGACGCTCGGGGCCCCTTCCGAACATACCCACAAGTTTGGAATAATAAAATGGACTCTCTCGAACCCTCGGAATGGCCGAAACAACATTAAAACTCAGAATCACATCCTAAAACCAATTGAATCAAACATATGAACTTCAAGTTCTCCAATTTACTTCCAATGTGCCGAAACATACTTATACTACTCGGATTGACACCAAATTTTGCGTGCAAGTCTTAAATGACATTATGGAACTATTCCTAGTCTCGAAATCTCATTCGGACCATGATATCATCAAAACCCGCTCTAAACCAAATTTAAAGAACTTTTAAAAACCTTCAAGAACCAACTTTCACTATTATGTACCAAAATGCTCCCGGTTCATCCAAAACCCAATCTGAGCATACGTCCAAGTTCAAAATCATCATACGAACCTATTGAAACCATAAAATCCTGATTCCGAGGTCATTTACTAAAAATATTGACCGAAGCCAAACTTGGCCTTTTAAACTAACCTTAAGGAACCAAGTGTTCCGATTTCAGCCCAAACTCTTCCAAATCCCGAACTAACCATCCCAGCAAGTCATAAATTAGTAAAAGCAAGTATGGGAAGCCTTATTTAGGGGAACAGGGTTCTAGAAAGAAAAACGACCAGTCGGGTCGTTACAAAAGGTGCTCATTCAATTCATTGTTTTGCTCATCAACTTCAATTAACTCTTGTTGCAATTTCTAGATGATCTGATGAACTGCAAGAACTCTTATTATTAGTTTTTGATATATTGAATATGGTAGGAGCTTCTTTCAAGCGCAGAGATGAACTTTGTGAGTCTCAAGCAGAAGAAATTGAAGAAGCATTACGTAAAGGTGAGCTTGAAACTGGTAGGGGCTTGAATCAAGAACTAGGACTTGCTAGAGCTGGTGATACTCGATGGGGTTCTCACTACAAATCCTTTAACAATTTTATTATTATGTTTGGCCCTATCATTGATATACTTGATGCTATTGTTGTTAATGTGCATTTTAAAGAAAAGTGTAAGGAAAAGGGATATCTTAAAGCATGTTTAACATTTGAGGTAGTCTTTATGTTGCATTTCATGCGCAATGTATTGGCGATCACCAATGAGCTTAATGCAGCCTTTCAAAAGAAGGAGCAAGACATTGTAAATGCCATGTTACTGGTTGGAGTCGCAAAGGAACGGTTGCAACTAATGAGAGAAGAGGGCTTGGATTCACTTATTGATGAGGTATCTAAATTTTGTATCACATACGATATTTTGATACCTAAATTTGATGAGCTTTATGTTGTCCTTTGAAGATCTCGTCGTAAAGTTGATGATTATACTGTTTTACATCACTACCGTGTTGGAGTGTTTCGTAAAACCATTGATTGGAAACTTCAAGAACTCAATAGTCGCTTTGATGAGGTGACAACTGAGTTGCTTCTGGGAGTAGCTTGCTTGAACCCAATTGACTCCTTTTCAAGCTTTAACATTGAAAAAATATTGATATTGGCCAATCTTTATCCTGATGATTTTGATAAATACTTTATGGTTGACCTTCGTTTTCAGCTTGAGAATTACATTGTTGATGTTCGGGATCATGATAACTAGTTTTTTTATCTTAATGGACTTGGTGATATTTCCAAGCAGCTAGTAGAAACAAAGAAACATGAAACTTATCCTCTTGTATTTCGACTAGTTAAATTTGCTTTACTTTTGCCAGTTGCTACTGCTATAGTTGAAAGAGCTTTCTTGGCAATGAAGTTGATTAAGAACGACTTACGAAATCGAATGGACGATGAGCTTTTAAGTGGTTGTTTGGTGCCATATATAGAAAAGATGTATTTAGTAATGTTTCTAATGAGGCTATTATGGATACATTTCAAAAAATGAAAACTCGTCAAGGAGAGTTGTAGTAGCTAATGTACTTGAATTGTTTTAGTAAAATATCGTTATAATGGTTTATCAATTTGTTCATTTCTTTCAATGGGACACCGCTTATAAAAGATCATGTGTATACCACTGCCGCCATCAGCTCCTCGTCTTTATTCTTCAAATCTTCTCTTAAGGCTCGAACGTCGCCTCCCTCGCGAAGCCGATATCGAACCTCCCGGTACTTCCCGCGGTACTCAATATACTTTCCTTACAGCTTCACAAAAATCTCTTTACGCCTCTTCTCCCTCCAAGCACTCTCAACTTCTAGAATCGTCGTCTACAAATCAAACAAAAGAGGTTAGAACTTAAAAATAAGCTAAGGCACAAGGAAAATTGTAGGTAATAATCATACTTACCCCCAAGAGCGAGGTATGCGATACTTTTCGATAGAGTACTATCAGTTATCTTCTTGAGGGTCTCAACGTCAGAACAAAGAGTACCGAGGTCAGGAACTACCTCCTCGGTGTCTACAAGCAGATCACAATCCATTGGGACCATGTTGGTCCTCGAACCTCCCTCCACCCTCACCTCGAGTAGGGTGATCCCCTCATCGATCATCATCAGGTCGTCCAGGTCAATATCAGAACCTGACTCGTCGCCCTTCTCGACGACAGTTTTCCCTATGTCACCGGCGGGCGAATAAACATCCACTGCTGCCTGAGAAGACGAAGCCTTCTCTCGCCTCGAAAGTGCGGGGCCACCATTAAGTGCCCCCACAACGGACGTCTCCCCCTCGGGATGCACCAGCGCATCCACGGTCACCTCGTCCAGTTATGGGGCCTCGATGCTCTCCCCAACATCCTCTTTTATATGAATAGTCATTGTCTCTCGAGAACCAAATCATCCCCCGGCGAGTTAATAGCAACTAGGACTTCCCCTCCGGTGTCCACGACTCTTCTATTGCATGGCCTTAGATCCCTATCACCGGGGGGACCTCGTTATCCTTATCAATCAAAGAAAATAGCTGAGGAGCAGAAGCAGCAGTTGGGATGGAGGTAGATTCTTGGACTGCAGCAGCCAGGACGGGGGCAGGTGTAGAAGGCACAGTAGTCGCAACCGGGGTAAAAATAGAAGGCATAGCAGCCCCTTTTCCTAAACGAGGGCACAGGCGCTCTGCTCCTTCGAGAAGTCCCCCTAGCCGAACCCGAGAAAGGGAGAAACATAAAAGTTGACAAAGCTGACCAACATACAAAAAGAGGTAACAATCACAGCCAAAAGGGAAGTTACCTATAGAAGGGAGAGCCGGTCTGAACTCTTAAAGAAGCTCGGCCAAGCATGAATCCTTACGGCATGAGAGAGAATCTGCCCGTCCCAGTCGGCAATGCGTACGGCTAGAGGGGGAGGACAGTTGTTGGCTACAAGGAAGGAATAATTACATGACTAGCCCAAAATGGGCGAAGAGATGCAAAAGGAAAAAACGAAAGAAACATAGACACTTACGTTTATGATTCCAAGCCTCGGGGAAGCCGTCGACATTGGCCACGACGTCCTCAGTTCTGACATAAAATAAATCGAGCCAGAATTGATAGCTGGCCTTATCATCCATCATCACCACCAGGCACATGCCTCTACGATGACGGAGGATCAACATCCTTTCCCTATAGAAGCTAGGTGAGAATAGGTGCACTAAATGCCGTAATGTCACCTCGACACCAACGAGCTCAGCAAACTTGGTCAGTATCTTGATGACTTTGTAAACATATTGGGCGAGCTGAGCAGGGCAACTGCCATAGTTGCGGCAAAATTCCTCCACCAACGGAAGGATGGGAAATAAGTAACCGATAGCAAACGGGTAAGAATATAGAGTGCAATACCTGGGACGGTGAATATGAACTTCGTCCTCCCCAGCAAGGATCAGTTCGATATGGCCGGGGAGGCCAAACTTAGCTTTAAATTCAGCCAACTGATTAGGCGCCATTGTCAATAAGAAGGTTCTAGGCGTCACGTCTGGCGATTGATGGAAATATGACCTAGTTTTGAGGTTGTGGGGGACGATCTCCTCCACCGAGGGAAAAGATTTATCCTCTACAGTGGCAGTTGTATTCTCTCCCCGATCAGGGAACAAAACCGCCAACAGAATCGTGTGACTCCCTTCACCAATATCAGATAAAACATTCGACATGTTTATGAGAAAATAAAGAAGGAAACTAGGAATAGAGTTTATGATATGGAAGAGAGCAAAGATACAGAGAAGAGAGGTTCGGAGAGAAAGTTTGAAATCTCAAAAGTTTGGGAGAGTAAAAATTTCAAATTTGGGTTTGGCTATCTCTATTTATAGAGATTGAGGCACCAAATCAGAAACGGTTTGTCATAATGGGCACCAAACCCGAAATGGCTCACCATAATTAGAACCAAAATCGAAACGGTAGATCCCATCAAAGGTCACATGCAAATCGACGCAATGCATCGGGAACAAGCATTATCATGATGCATGACGTCATGACGTCATTGATAAGTAGGTATTTTAACCTATTACTTGCTCTCTTTTACTTGTGTTTTGGGCCAAAAATGCGTGAAGGTATTCCCGGAAACTAATGTAATATGCTTGCTTGCAGGAATTGTTCAAAATGAGCCAAAGGAGTCATAATCAACTCATAAAAGAGTCAAAACTTGAACAAAAACCAAGACTGAACCAAGATATCTGAAGCGCAGACCGCACATATATTGTGCGACCGCGATCAGAAATACGTGGTCTGTGAAAAGGAGATTCGAAGAGTTGCATTTTCAGGATAAATGATAAGCGCAGAATGCGCCAGAAATGTGCGGTCGCAAAAGTCTCTCCGCGGCCGCGATGGAAATTATGCGAACCGCAATGCATGAAGTTCAGAGAGCTCACAACTTGAGCAAAAAGAAAGAAGTGTGGTACGCGTCAGAATTGTGTGGCCACAGAAGTCCCTTACGCAGCCGTGATTGAAATTATACGGCCCACGAAACTCAACTAAACCCAGATCCAGATTTGAAGAATGCGGACTGTCACACCTCATTTTTACACCCTGAAGGTATTTAAGGGAGTTTTTTCACTTAAGTGACATTATTCGAAATGGGATTATTGATAAGTCAGGATTTTAGCATGTTTTATGCCCCTACTTGCCTATGCTTTGGTTATAAATTGCTACAAAATAATCCAAAAATGCTCACAAGTTCCGCTTGATTGCAGGTTTGATCGACAAAGCGACAGAATGTCAAAGATCGGCTCAAGAAGGAGTGAAATCTGCTCAAGTGTCAAAGACTAACTAAATTGAGGAAAAGAGAACCTAGTGCGGACCGCGCAAAAGCGAATGCGGCCGCACTAGGAGGTTCAGAGAGTTGGCATTTTCAAGCTGGAGGCAACGCGGGCGCGGTACGACTCACGCGGTCCGTGGTCAGGCTCCGCGGCCGCGCTACTCTTTTGTGCGGTCCGCGGAGCAGAGATTCAGAGAGCTCACATTTTGCCAGTTCCAAGCAATGCGGCCCGCGGTCATTTTTGTGCGGCCGCGCCAACTTCCACCGCGGCCGCGGTATACTTTCACGCGGTCCGCGGTCCTCAAGTTCAGAGAAGCATAAATTGAAGTCCAAGAGCCAGTGCGGCCGCGGTCCATTTTGCGCGGCCCGCACTGACCCCGCAGGAGTATTTTTGTCTAGTTTTCCAGCCTAGTATAAATAGGATATTTTACCATTTTTAGGCCAGGTTTTATATCCCAGACATAGCTGCGCTCGTGAGACTCGATTTTGTAGCCATTTTTGGCACTTTTGCTCTATATTTACGATAGATTCTTGTAGTTTCATTTAGCAATTAATTAATATGCTTAGTTCTTCATCTATGTCTTCAGTTTTTGTATCTAGCATGAGTAGCTAAACCCACTAGCTAGGGTTGTGGCTCAACCCTAGTGTGGGTAATTGATGGGTGTTGCCATCTAGGGTTAGATTGATTATGGGCGTTTGCTATTTATGTTGATTTTATATTTTTATTTAAGAATTGGTGGTTGCAAACACTGATTCAAGCTTTGTGGGTTTGACTCTTCTTGAGAAAGAGAGTTTATGACCCCAAAATTGACCCAACAAGGAATTGGGATGGACTCATGAGAAATGAGAGTCCCAATTAACGGGTTAAATCTCGAGAAATTAATCACCCTACTTGAACCCTAGTTGCTTGATCTCATTGGCCTACCCAATTGGTCTCGAGAGAGTCAATTGGGCAAAATCACTCTCTCTACCGAGAGGTGTGAGAGTGAGTACAGTTGTGCAACGGTTACAGCATAAGCCCCAAATATGTCAATCTATCCTTAGTAACATCTACCCGTCAATTAGCTACCTAGGCAATGCCACGACCCTAGTGCCTTTCTTCCCATTAGATACAACTTTGCAATATTCTAATAGCATAATTTAGTGTTAATCATTAGTTTTATCTTAATAGTTATAAAATCAACAACCAAGAATGTTTGAAGTGACATTAGGAACACAAACACATCTCTAGACTAGACAGAAAATCCAACTCCACTACTAGCTCCCTGTGGAAATCGATCCCGACCACTATTCGGGTAAAAGCTATTGCGACCCGCTCTTCCTACCTTGGTGTAGCGTCGAGTTTGCAGCGATCAATTATTTATTTATCAGAGTCACCACTTGGGATAGTTTATTTGGTGTCCCAAGTCACCGGTTTATTTTAAATCCCAAATCGAGGAAATTCGACTTTCCATTTGAAGTCTGCGAACCAGAAATTCTGAATAAGGAATTTTGTTAACCCGGGAGAAGGTGTTAGGCATTCCCGGGTTCTGTGGTTCTAGCACGGTCGCTTAAACTATTATAATAGGCCTATTATCTGATTTTAATACCGGTTTTAGCCTATGGTACGTTTTAACTTATTAACCGCTTTCAATTAATTTAGGAAGATTCAACGTTATCTAAAACACGTCTTGAACCATGTCACATGAAATGCACCCGCGGTCCACGACACATTTTATTTAACGTTGTTGAGAATTGGAGTTGGGTCACATGAAATGCACACCCGAGTTTAGGAAATTAATTTAAATAGCGCGCCTAAAGCAACTATACACTTTCGAGTTAATAACAAGGTTTGCGAGGGCCATGAAAAATTCAACTAATGGCACACCTCGATTTCTAAAGAGTTATTATTAATTATCCGAGGGCCATGGGTTATCTAATTTTGCACTATGGCACACCCCAAGTCTAATTTTTAAAGGATGTTTGAACTAATCTTTTGAGGGCAATAAATTATATGTTTTGTTGATATTGCACACCTCAATCTAATTAAAGGAATCATGTTTAATAACGGCCTAGGCATGCTCCTAACGTTAAAATAATAAAGTAAAGCAATTAACATGGTAAACTCAAAAAAACCAACTCCCAAGCCCATTTTGCACAAAAGAGCGCATGAACAGTGATCCAATAGAAGGACTAGGAAATAGGAATTCCATCAAACCAGCAACAAGCATTCGAGGGATCAAACCAGGCGAACAACCAAAACTGTAAAAAAAAATACTAGACAAAACATAACAAAGACGATTAAACTGTCAAACCAACAAAAATAAAATGCCTACACTCCAAGGACAAAGGAGAACTCACAACGACAGCATGCTCATAAGGACGATTAATAATCCTACAAAGTTATAGTTCACATTCTTATAAAACTATAACTTATGATATAAAAATTGGTATTGTGTAAAATTGACTAAGCTACAGACTGTTGGGTCAATCTTCCTGTGTGATGAAAGGTGTATGTCCTATTTCAAGTGGAGAATGTTATCTTAGAACTTAACAAAAACTTTTCCAGATGATGGTTTGCTTCCAATGTATATTAATCCACACAAAGGCACAACATCATACTCAACTATAACATTCATAAATTGACTAAATTTGTCATGGAAACAATAGCAGCAGAAATTAAGAAGAGGGAAATAGAACCTCTCATCAATCCGAGCCGACGTACAAGAGATCCAAATAGAAAACTCTATCGCACCAAAGCTCGGACCTCGACAGAACTCAAGCTGGACCGGAAATGGAGAAACCCCGGCGAAGTGCCGGCATGGCAGTGACTTCGACGGATTAAACAGATTTGAAAATGAATTGGAGGTGGTTTATGGCCAAGGCAAAGACTACAGAGCTCTTAAGTCCAAAATCCGTTTTTCATTTTTGTTGTCTTTTCCGGCCGGTTCCTTTAGGCCTTAGGCGTCCAATTTTTTTTTGGTTTTTCTTTGATTTTGAAGAAGACAAAACGGTCAATTCCCAAAATGTGTCACTGCTGATTGCCATATCTCTTAGGTCCCTAGCTTTTTTTTTTGTTTCTAGCGTGTATTTTTCAGCTACTTTGTTGTCTAGGAAGAAAAAGAGAAATGGCTCCAGCTCTTTTAGCTCTTAGCTCCAAACGGCGGATTGGTCATGTTTTTGGCGTAGGTCTAAGTTTAGGCATTAGGTACTATTATATAGGGGGTAGGAATTAGGTTAGGGATATGGGCCTAGGAATTATGGGCTTGGGAATTATGGGCTAGGTCCAAAAATTAGGCCTAAAAATGGATTGGTCGAGCCCAAGTTTTATTCTTTCCCCGCGAACGAGACTAAAATACGATCTCATTTATTAATTAATCCTACTCAATTAAAATAACTATTAAAATAAGACTGACCGTTAAAATAAAACTATTTTTTGGTATTTTTCAAAGTTAAAAAAAATGACTACAACACATTAATGAAACTATTTTTTTTGTAATTTTTATTTTCTTGTAATAAAATAAAGTAAAAGAGTAAAAATTAGTTAAAATAGCTATATTAAGCCTAAATTAAATATTTACGTGCTAAAATATGAAAAATCTTGGGGAGGGACAAAAACCACATGTCTACAGCTGCCCCTCTTTGACTGGAAACGCGAAGAGTTTTCAGACAAAGAATGACTAGACAGGTTTTTTGATCCGACCCTTATTTAGAGAGGCCAAAAGCTAAAAGAAAGGAGAATGTGACCGAGCCCTGGTATCTGAGCTGCCTACATATCCTTGGCTATAATGGAATCAGGCCACGTGTAGTTCAGAAGTGAATGAGGTGATAGAGTACCGAGGTGGAGAGCCGATTGAGGTGCCATTCCGTCGAGGTTCCGGTCCGCGGTCCCGTTATTACATCAAAATCAGAAAATGTAAAAGACCAACTAAGCCTATCAGCTACGAGTTACAAGATCCCTATCTATGAGTCTTCTGAAGCTTGATCTTGAGTCTTGGCTAGTTCTTGCTGCAGACTCCGATCTGAATCTTGATGCTTAGGCGACTAGGGGATGGAGACCCTATGTCTAAAATCTCAACTAGGGGTTGGAGACCCTATGTTGGCAAAAGGCGACTAGGGAATGGAGACCCTATGTCTAAAAATCTCAACTAGGGATTGGAGCCCAGTGTTGCGAAAGGA